GATATACCATAGTGGGTGGAGCAGGAACCCAAAGACTTACACAGAATTGCACGGCCGTTCAGCAAGTCACAACATCCTGACTCTGTTCACCGTCAGGCACTATGGCAGTGTCTGTGGAACAAAGGTGCCCCCCTATAAATTAGTGACCCTCCTTAAGTCACTGTACATCAACTCCTGCGGCCGTGTGGATGTTTATGGGAAGCACTCGCCTGAGGTCACATGGGGTGGTGTCAGGAAGGCTGTCCTCTTTCACCTCTCCTCTTCACATTCGTCATTGATACGCCAATGGAAAACTCACCATCAGCTTCTAAATGCATTTGGGTCGTTATCCTGAGACATCCATCACTCAGCGAGTACGCAGACGACTTAACTCTTCTTGAATTTGATGCCGTTGCAATGCCAACAATGTTAAATAATCTACATATTTCTGCCTCGTGGTTTGGTATTCGCTTCACACGTGCAAAGTGTAAAATACTACTGCAAGACTAAGCAGGCTTGACCCCTAGCCTCATGCTTGCAGATGAGCCGAATGAGGTTGCAGACAAGCTTGTCTACCTGACCAGCTGTATCAGTCCCGTATCGAATACGATAACGTCATGCCAATGCAATCCAACCGTCAGCAGCAGTCCGATCGAGTACTTAAGGGGGAATTGTCAGGAAGACTTCTCGACCTCTCTGATTCCATCACTCCGAATAGGGCACGGAAAACAACAATCTCTTCGACAAACGATGGCTCAGTATACGCAATACGTGGCCTGACCAACGCAACCTCTGGTGATGGACACTTTCTTTAAAGGAATTTCCCGTTGCTTAACCGAAAATTCGCTTTCCAAGTGCCTCATTACGGATTCCCCCACACCAACCCACACGAGCTATGGTCTTGAGACAACGCATATCGAACACCTGAAGGCGTTTTAGTTTCGCTACTCGAACAGACCAGTTTTCGAAACTTGCACCGTACCTTGATGCACACGTCCCTCGAGGTTCAGGCTACACCATTCTGACCCCATAGGTGGCAAACATGACCCGGGTCTTACAGATCGTGCATTTACCTCATCTGTCACACTACAGTTGGAACTAATACAACTTCCGAGGTACGTAAAACGCTCCACAACTACCAGTGTCTCCAACCCCACCCCCGAATTGCAAGTGGCGAGTTCAGAGGCTGCATGTCCAGAAGCATGTCCTTACAACTTGTGGGTGCAAAGTGCATACCAAAGGACGGGACGGCTTTGGTCAGTTTATCCAAATAGACCCGCCCCTTCTTCGAAGGCGAGAACGATGTCGTCTGCATATTCCAGATCAACAAGCTTTTTCGTCAGGTTATTTGAACGCCGGTGTTTTGAAGACCTTCCAGCGTTCGCCTCATGATTTCATCTATCACAATATCAAATACAAATGGAGTTCGTAAAAGGCGGAGAACCCCTGGCGACCCACGTGACAAAGCTCATTGGTGCTATATCGAGCGAAAAATAATCGCATGCAGAATGGGGCATGTCGAAAGGTATCCCTATTTCCAGAAAGACTAGCTGACGATGTGTAAGCACCACTACGGCTTCGGCCTGGTGGCTGGGCACGGAAGGCGCCCTCTGGTCTTATTCTTCGACGGCTGGCTGAACTCAGAAACGAGCGAATCCTCGAAAAAACGAACTCGGTGGCCTCACACAGGAGCATGAGTAGACCACATTTTCACCCTCCGACAAATTCAGGGACAGCGACACTGTTTCCAGCTACCAGTACTGGTTTTCTCTGCTAATCTGAAAGGTGATTTTGTGTCTGGAGGCAAGCCGCCCTTAATAACCGAGCAGCACGCCAAATGGACGGATGTCGCGTGCGGGTCACGGACCAAACGAAGGCACGTCCTGATTGGTCAGAATGCTAGCCAATCCGACTCGAGCACCCCTAACTCGACGCTTCCTGCCTCCTCACGGAGGTTCTGGTACGATTTTGTGGGACATTCCGTGATTATCCTATATGTGCAGTTGTAATAATTTTCCTTTGTTTCCATAATGAGATGTCTGAAGCTACCATACCTTTTGATATACCATAGTGGGTGGAGCAGGAACCCAAAGACTTACACAGAATTGCACGGCCGTTCAGCAAGTCACAACATCCTGACTCTGTTCACCGTCAGGCACTATGGCAGTGTCTGTGGAACAAAGGTGCCCCCCTATAAATTAGTGACCCTCCTTAAGTCACTGTACATCAACTCCTGCGGCCGTGTGGATGTTTATGGGAAGCACTCGCCTGAGGTCACATGGGGTGGTGTCAGGAAGGCTGTCCTCTTTCACCTCTCCTCTTCACATTCGTCATTGATACGCCAATGGAAAACTCACCATCAGCTTCTAATGCATTTGCGGTCGTTATCCTGAGACATCCATCACTCAGCGAGTACGCAGACGACTTAACTCTTCTTGAATTTGATGCCGTTGCAATGCAAACAATGTTAAATAATCTACATATTTCTGCCTCGTGGTTTGGTATTCGCTTCACACGTGCAAAGTGTAAAATACTACTGCAAGACTAAGCAGGCTTGACCCCTAGCCTCATGCTTGCAGATGAGCCGAATGAGGTTGCAGACAAGCTTGTCTACCTGACCAGCTGTATCAGTCCCGTATCGAATACGATAACGTCATGCCAATGCAATCCAACCGTCTACTGCAAGAGCAGGCTTGACCCCTAGCCTCATGCTTGCAGATGAGCCGAATGAGGTTGCAGACAAGCTTGTCTACCTGACCAGCTGTATCAGTCCCGTATCGAATACGATAACGTCATGCCAATGCAATCCAACCGTCAGCAGCAGTCCGATCGAGTACTTAAGGGGGAATTGTCAGGAAGACTTCTCGACCTCTCTGATTCCATCACTCCGAATAGGGCACGGAAAACAACAATCTCTTCGACAAACGATGGCTCAGTATACGCAATACGTGGCCTGACCAACGCAACCTCTGGTGATGGACACTTTCTTTAAAGGAATTTCCCGTTGCTTAACCGAAAATTCGCTTTCCAAGTGCCTCATTACGGATTCCCCCACACCAACCCACACGAGCTATGGTCTTGAGACAACGCATATCGAACACCTGAAGGCGTTTTAGTTTCGCTACTCGAACAGACCAGTTTTCCAAACTTGCACCGTACCTTGATGCACACGTCCCTCTCGCTTTCCACCTCATTACGGATTCCCCCACACCAACCCACACGAGCTATGGTCTTGAGACAACGCATATCGAACACCTGAAGGCGTTTTAGTTTCGCTACTCGAACAGACCAGTTTTCGAAACTTGCACCGTACCTTGATGCACACGTCCCTCGAGGTTCAGGCTACACCATTCTGACCCCATAGGTGGCAAACATGACCCGGGTCTTACAGATCGTGCATTTACCTCATCTGTCACACTACAGTTGGAACTAATACAACTTCCGAGGTACGTAAAACGCTCCACAACTACCAGTGTCTCCAACCCCACCCCCGAATTGCAAGTGGCGAGTTCAGAGGCTGCATGTCCAGAAGCATGTCCTTACAACTTGTGGGTGCAAAGTGCATACCAAAGGACGGGACGGCTTTGGTCAGTTTATCCAAATAGACCCGCCCCTTCTTCGAAGGCGAGAACGATGTCGTCTGCATATTCCAGATCAACAAGCTTTTTCGTCAGGTTATTTGAACGCCGGTGTTTTGAAGACCTTCCAGCGTTCGCCTCATGATTTCATCTATCACAATATCAAATACAAATGGAGGAAGTATTCATCCGTGACGGACACTACTTTGTTTACCGAAGCTTTTGGAGAGCTCGTCTTATATTCAGACGTCCGTAAATCTGAGAATACAAAGAGCTCATTCTTTTCACGAACTTCCTGGGTATTCTTTGGTGAGTAAGTGTGTTAAGAAGAACAGAAGAACTGAGTCGAATGCGCCTTGGAAATCTAGGAATACTTTAATTGTGGGTCGCTTGTACGTATGGCGTCTTTCTAGCACCTGAAGCGTTCAGCTGTAGCACCCTTCCTGGTGCCTAGCTGCCATACTACCCGGAGGAAGCACGAGGGCTGGGATACCGCCAGGTCGCCCAGGCCTAGACAGGGGAAGTCGAGTGGCAGAGGTTGGGTTCGAACCACGGGCCTTCCGGTCAGTAAATTTGCGCCATAACCACTTGGGCCATCTCGCACCTGACGGGGTATGAAAATTTTGTAAACGCAGCCCCTACCCGGTCGGAATCCCGCTTGCTGCTCTCGCGCCAGTGTTTCACGAGCCACCGTAGGGCGATGAAACACAAATGACACCAGCAGTCTCGTTACAACCGGCGTCAAGCTAATCAAGCAAACATCAGACAAGCGCTGAATGAGGACTTCACCCCCATCTTTGAACAACGCGAGTGGAAGGTCATCATCATCATCGACAGCATGACATCAGTGTTCAACGCCGAGACGGCCCAAGTGGTTAGAGCGCGAATTTACTGACCGGAAGGTCCGTGGTTCGAATCCGACCTCCGCCACTCGACTTCCCCTGTCTAGGCTTGGGCAACCTGGCAGTATCCCAGCCCTCGTGCTTCCTTCGGGTGGCATGGCAGCTAGGCACCGGAAGGGTGCTACAGCTGAACGCTTTATCTAACCTCATGCCTGTTCGTCAGCGTCGTTAAACAGTTGTTTCTCAGGTGATTATCCGGACCAGAAGCTTGGCGGCGCTTGAGAGAACGTTTCCAGTCGTTAACTTTCGAGGCCGTAGGTGGTTCCATGTTCACTGCTCAGGTTTCTACGTCAGCTTTGGGTTCCAGATGATTGGCAGCTGGTGGCCATGACGGTTATTGTTCGAAGTATTCGGCCCATCGGTCGAGGCGTTCTGTATTCAAGATGGTCACTCCATTCCGATCCTTGATGGTTTCGCCCATAGGTGGTTTCCGGGGTCCGGCATCACAGATCAACTGAAATAATCTTCGGGCATTCCCGGCTTTCTAGACCTCTTCCATTTGTTTGGCTTTCTGTGTCCACTGCACGCTCACTTCCATTTGATGTCTGATAATTTGTCGCATCAATTTACCTTCGGGGCCGGTTGGGATATTTCTTCGAGACTTAAGCAGTACCATCGTTCGGTCTGATATTCAGTGCTTGAGTGATCCTGGTGGTGCCGTGCCACAGGATGAATTCTCAGTACCATGCAAAGAGGTGGCAATCTCGTTCCAGTTTCCAGTTCGGTGAAAGAGGCTCTAGAAGTCGATTCTGGTAAGTTCGTCTAATATCCGGATCTGCCAGTCTCGGTCGCCAAGCGATTTTTCCGCACCTTATGCGGCCGTGGAAAACGTAGAACGAAGCGACTCCGGACCACTGGGTTGTCGGAATCCACAAATCAGTTCCAATCAGTCAATGCTCCGCGTCATCGGTAACTGATGGCAATGTGATCGATTTGAGTTGGTAGCCGGTATGCCTTTGGAAGACACTACGTGACGAGACGACTTCGGCCAATTCGGAAGTTAGTACTGCATAAAAACAGCCTGCGGCCAGCACACAGCTGAAGCAACCGTTCACCATTGTCCGCACATACCGAGTCAAGTCCCTGTCGACCACCTAATTGAGTCTCAGATATTTTAAGCCTGCTCACTTGTGCATTCGAGTCTCCGACAACCACAACGATATCTTAACTTTCAGCTTGCCGCAACAGAGCATTAGAGGCGTCATAAAACTTGTCTTTGATGGTGTTAGAGCTAGTCAGTTGGGGCGTAAGCACACACGGCAAACATACATCGATCGAGTTCCCACTAGTGAGGCCTATTCACACACTACCAGACGAACCGCAAAGAGGTGACTGTTAACGAATACCAATTCAGACAATGATCCTTCTACCCGGTGACTTGGGACGATACCGATACCCGGACATCTAGCCACAGAAGGCTCTGGATCACCAGAGGTGCGTAGCTGAAGACTGATGGGGCTTAACCACGGTGCTTGCATCTTGAGTTCTTGTTCCTGAGACACAGCACAATACCAAGCGAGTCCACTGTGAGAGCAAGAGCGGCTTGTCGTCCTGCTTGCTTCAGAGTGCGGACATTGAGGGAGGCTAGATAGACTGGGCTTCGAGGCTTGAAGATTGATGTCGAGATACCTGAGGATGTAGGCACCATGTGACGAGCGGATGTTGCACGCAAAACTGGTGCAAGACGAACGGAGTCATCAGTCCTTGTACATGTAGGCACTGACGAGCGGATGTTGCACGCAAAACTGGTGCAAGACGAACGGAGTCATCAGTCCTTGTACAGGACTGATGAAAATATGCTGGGGAATGCCAGAAGGTTACAAAACCTGTGCCTAATCTCTGTCACTTATCTTGCTGGGAGGGGTTAAGTAACCTTGACCCGTTGCATCTTGTATACCGACGCTGGCTTGGGTGTCGTCTATACCTACCGTCTTTTCCAAATTAAGTCCCAAAGCAGTCACAATTTCCACCTGCTTGGTCACTCATGTGAGCTCTCTTCAGCGGTTTACGCCACGTTCTCGCGGAAAATTCCTTTTCGTAGCGATACCGCTCTGAAACCAATCTTCCGAGTCCGCTCTGTCCCTCCCCGTACTTCACGGTTTTTAGGATGTTCGATAGGATTACCTAAATTTTTCACCTGATTGAGTTTGTTTCGGTTTTGGGTAGACCCAATTTTATTTCTGTCTCTTCATCAGGGGCGAAAGTTCGTGAACTAGAAGACGTCAAATCCTTTCAGGTGGTTCATTTTGGATCGACGACCTGCCAGGTTTCCAGGAATGAAAGTCTTTAACCGGCGTATCGTAGTTAGTTAGTCGAGCTAGAACTTCCCTCAATTCCAGAACATCTGGTAATAATCTCGATTTGGAGGTTCTTGTTCAACAGCGTGTAAAATCGAAGAAAAGACAGTAGCCACCAAGTGGGATTCCGATTATCTGTTGTAGTCAGATGACTAAGGACCGACCCTCTGTGATGAAAGCTTCACTTCTGAGTATTTGTAACGTTGCCTCATTGTGACATTTTCCTTCTCTGCTTTTAGTTGCACCCATGGACTCTCGGTTGTCGGAACACATCATTAAGCAATACCTTATTTCTCGCAACTTTACCGGGACACTTGATGCTTTTGATGCGGAGTGTAATCGTGAGAAAGTCAGACATCGCGTAAGTGACCTGTCCCATTCCAGAATCTTGGTATGTCATTTATAGTTTCAACCATCATCGATCACTGTGAGCTTGCGGGACGCCATCAATGAGTCGAACCTTGGCCGTTTAACTGAGATATGGAGTTCTTTGCATAAGACCTTCTTCTACCGATTAGATGCGGACAGACAGCAAATGGCACATTCTTTCAAAGTCCATGTATTCAAGACCTACGTTGTTCACGCATTCTCACAAAGGCGCACTTCCAAAGTTACGGAATTTTTCAACGGGTTATCCTCAGAGTTTTGTCCCAATTTGCCCGAATGGAAAAATTGGTATGGTGAGTGAACCCTACAGGCATTACTCTTCCGCAGCCTTGCCGCACACACCTGATGCATCAGAACAACCAGAATATGCAATGTACTTCACAAAGACCTGGATGGATATCCTTAGTTTATCACTTACAAATTTTCTATGCGCTCTGTTTTCTCTGGAGTTATGTAGCACAAACGTCCTGACCCGGCTAAATGAATTGGAAACGCAAGTTTCGGTAAGTTCTAGCCCAAAACTAGAGTCTGCTAAGGTTGAAGTTGTTCTCTGGAATTCGCGGAAATTACGAACGAGAAATCGAATGTCATAGAAAGACGGAACAAATTTATTCCGTCTCACCTCACACTTTTCACCGTTTTGCATCCGTGTGGTGGCTTTGGTCTGTTTATAAGTAGTATTTAAATAGTTCATAGATGTAACATCCAATGGGTTTTGATTGCGACCTAACCAGTAGGTTGTTCACGATATATTGTTCGTAAGTGTCACAAGCGACTTAAATGTCTGACTTAGTCGGAAACCTGGAGTTCTGCAGGAGGTTGGATCTTTATTTTTGTGCGCTTGTTTGACCTTGTTGTGAGCGAAGTTTTCAATAGTAATATTAACAATAATAACCGCGTAGCTGTGAGCAATCTTTCAAGGTCTAGCTGTCATGCCACCCGAAGGAAGGTCTCCAATGGGTGAACGCCATGCTTTATTTACTTGAACTCCAGATTGCACAGTGACTAAGGCGCGAACTTAATGACCTGATGGTCTGTGGTTTGACCAACCTTGTCATCTCGGATGCTTCTGTTTGGGCTTGGCAACCTAGCCGAATCACAGGCTTCATGCTTTCTTTGTGCAGAGTGGCAGATAGGGGCCGATTAATTGTTACATCTGAAGGATTATTGTTTTGGTTGCTATTACCATCGACCTTCATCTACTGTAGCTCCTGCTTTTCATAGCATAATGCCGGAGTCTGGCAGCCGCTGGAAACGACTCCTTACATGGGCTTACCTGAGCAGTCTGTGAGATGTATCTTTAGCAAGCAATGCACTCACTAACGGGAGGTCCGTTTAGGCTGTGACAACTTGAAGGAATATTCAAGACCGAGGATTCACAGGTTTTGAAACGGATAGAAGAACGTCGCGGTTTACCCATCCTGATCAAAACCTACGGATAATTTTTCAACGTGCATAACACCGGCAAGTTGTGTGTACAGTCAGGTTACTAGTTTCAAAAATGCTAACCGGACCATAATGGTGAGACCCAATTGATTGTGAATGAATAAGCCATCGCGTTTTGCGCATGCACTATGCGTCAGTTACTTCCCGAATGTCCTCAAGGAGTCCTCTCTCTTAATCGCTAATGGTGGTAAAAAGTGTCCATTTTGGGAAAGCATGTTATGCGCAAGAACTCTACAATGCTACTTTTTACAAAGCATTCGCAACGCTTCTAATTCGGGTGAAATTAATTAACCAGTATTGAACTGAGTGCTGGTATCCAACGTCCTTCACGATGTCAGTCCTCACCATTGTGGCAGGAGAGGAGATTGGGAACTCCTTCAGATTATTACACGATTGAATTATTCATTGAATGTGACAATTTTCTTCAGATTTACAAATCAAAACAACAATGCACCGCATCTCAGCTACACACTGATAGCGTGACCTCTACTGATGGCAAAACGTTTGCTATGAAATTATCAACCTGTGTGAGCGATTCAGTCGTCAGCATCGTCCCATCCACTCATGTGACTGTGCAAACGGGTAGCAATCAATAGGCTATTTATTTTCCTGAGACACGAACGCATCTCTAATGCCAATGAATTTGCTCGATCTTACGAAGGTGGGGCGAAAGTAGTCGCGTCAAATGTGAACTTGGGCGCTAAATCATGGTTAAACCAGTGCGATAAGGAATAGACGGGAAAGCACAATCTGGGGCACATCACAGTATGAATGGTACCCGGTGGATCGACGAGATGCTGACGAAGTACCAGAAACCGTGTGTGGTCCCGCTTGGGAATTGTGTATGGTTAATTGCTGACAGCGTCTAAATTCCATTGTTCTCTGGAGACCTGGTTGTTTTAATTGATCACCGAGTTTCTAGAAAGTGAAACCAAGTGATCCCTGTGCTGTTACAAGCTTTTGCGATAGGTATTAACCAGGTCTATAAGATAGGAAACAAACACAGTCATGTATGACTAACGTAAAAAGACCCTTCTACGATGCATAGCTTGGAGCCAGGATGTTTTCGAATACACAAGGTTGCCCAACCGACACAGTCGTATATTTAGTTTTAAATTATTCGTGTACTGGATCGACCAACTCATTTCGGATGTTGTTTTGAATAAAACTATCCTAGGCATCATGGCGATGCAGGTACATACTACCAGCCATGTGTTCACATAGTTTAGAAGCTGAAGGCAATTTATTCGACTGAGTAGCAGGTACATCGGTCGCGGAAGACATCCACTATCATCAACTACGGTAGCTTGACCATACGTTATGCATGATGAGTCGCCTTCGGAGACGATTACTGTTCTCTCTGATTTCTTCAGAATGGCACAAACTGTGAGGTTGTTAATGTTTGCCTTGACAGAAGAGTGTAATGGAGACTACGAAAAGTTTGGGTATTGCTAGTGTGATCCGCTTGCCAAGATGGGATCACTGTGACTCTCCTCGCTGTGCTTGGCTACAGGCATTGAAAGGAATGCTCGCTAATTAATGCCAGTGGCATTTGTGCTGTTATTTCCTTTCCAGGTTGTCTGAGCGTTTCTAGGTGTCGGCAACTCAGAACACTTGAAGTTTGCTAGCGTCTAATCCCTCCCTTTTTCACTTTATGGCTTTCAAGGTATTGTAGATGTAAGACAAAAAAACAATTGTTCAGCTGTAACAACCTCTCTGTATCTAGCTGCCATGCCACCAGAGGGAAGCACGAGGGCTGGTTGCCCAAGCTTAAACAGGGCAAGTCGAGAGGCAGAGGTTGGGTTCGGACCACGGACCTTCCGGTCAGTGAATTCGCGCTCTAACCACTAAACCATCTCGCTCAGATATATATATATATA